TGAGTGGGTGTGAGTGAGTGGGTGTGGGTGTGAGTGTGTGTGGTTGTGAGTGTGTGTGTGGTTGTGAGTGTGTGTGTGTGTGAGTGTGTGGGAGTGAATGGGAGTGGGTGTGGATGTGAGTGAGTGGGTGTGAGTGAGTGAGTGAGTGAGTGAGTGAGTGAGTGAGTGTGAGTGAGTGTGAGTCTTCTCTCTCACAAGCACACTTGTACCGAAGACTGCCAGATAACTGAACCGGATGAATGCTACTTTCCAGAAGAAAATAAGCAGCATAATTAGTCTGCTTAGTTATCAGTATTTTATCCTTTTAACAAAAACAATCTTGCATACCATCTGTTAAAAAACGATTAAGCAAATATTATGTAAATTATACTTAATTGTTATGACATTGCTGTATTCCATACAGAAAAATCTCAGAAAGCTTACTAATATGTGCTTTTAAAGTGCTGGTATGTGCTATTTAGGGGCAAATAAAGTGCAAAGACGTAGCTTTCCGCTCGTGTGCCTGAAACCCTGATAGAGCTGTAGAGTGATCATCTCTGTCAGCGCTCACAGTAATCACAGCAGAGCTCTCGGTCTGCACGAAAAACACAAACACGATCTGGCCACCTCTCGAGGATCAGCCCAAAACACAGAGCAATGAGAGCGAAAGAGCTGTGAATAAACCGTGCAAGACGAGTGCATTAGGTCTAAGAGTAATACTGCTAACAGTCTGAGTCCGTCCAGACGGGTTTCTCAGCCAGAGCATGTGAAAGATCCGAGTCCTTCTGGAGGGAGAGTTCAGCGCTGATCACTGATCATGACATTAACATGAGCCCGAGCTGCTTTCCTCATGTACGTGACCCGTCTCACTGTCATGCGCAAATATTTTCAACCCTGCAATCCTTAATAAAAATGTCAGAACTTGCTCTTCACTGTGATGTGACACATGAATTAAAAAATATTATGCTGTGTGTGGATAAATCATTCATTCGATACATTTTACAACTTTGATTACATGGCGACCTTAACTATATCATATGACAGGAGTATACGCTAAAAGCTCATGTGGGGTGTTTATGCCCTCATATCCTGAAAGTTGGGTTCGTTCTAACAGTTGACGTCACACGCTGAATTCTCAGATTCTTAAAGCGACAGTTCACACTAAAATGAAAATGTGCTGTTAATTTACTCGCCCACAGGCCGTCCAAGATATAGGAGACGGTTTTCTTCTTCAGTAGAAGATTTTTAGCTGAAACCGGGATCCTTGGTGATTGAGTAAATGTGAGTCAGCAGCAGCAGTGCACTTTGAGAATGAAAAAAGCATATGGAGGAACACAACATTAATGCCCGTGGCTCCTGATGCTATATTGAGGTCTTATGAAGCGAAACGATCGGTCTGTGCAAGAAACTACAAGTTACTCAATCAGAACTCACTTTGGGACGCCTGAGACTGGAAATGAGCGGAAACAGAGGCGTATCTGATCCGGTGATGAATGAACTGATTCAGCTCCAGCTCCTCCACAGACACTGAACCGAGCAAACGGTTCGACTCGGACTGAACCCAGCACTTGAATGAAGGGCCAAATGAAGGTTTTTATGCTTTCTCATGGTATATGTATACAGGTGAGCTGATGAAGACTAGTTTACTCACTTTATATGCTTTTGACACGTTAAACATCAGCGTTTCACATCATTATTGAGTGCTAATAACAACACCAGCTGGCCTTCACTGAGCTCAATTCCTCTGAATTCACCACCACTGACAGAAAACAACACTGTTTCTGCACACAAGTACTGTGGTAACACCGGTTACTACTCATGGTCCTTTTAAGGAGCATCCAGAACCTGTAATAGCTGCAGTGTTTTGGTGGTTTGCCATGTTATTGCCTGAAGGGTTACACCCCCACACACAGTGTCAGGTGAGCTGTGGGCCTAAACTCAAACTACAGCAGCATCGAGTGAGGAAGCGCTTCAGAGAAGACCGAGCAAGCCTGCGGGGCTTTACCGTGTTTACATGTGTTGTGTATCTACAGCTAACCAGCAGCAGTCAGTCGCCTCAGCTCCACAGACACTCGTGCCTTCACAGAAAAGCATCTGATCTGGAGCCCAACGCGCAGCGATGAAGCAGCGGAAGCGCCGCAGAGCCGCCGGAAGCAGCAGCTAGCAGGGGCTAGCAGGGTTAGCAGCACTTAGCAGGGCTTCACTAACTGTCCTGATCTGGCGAAGCTGAGCCACACAGTCACAGACACACGACTCACCTGCTCGCGTGGAGTCGCGTACTCCTTGATCGAGCATTAGAGTGATGTTTTCTGGCGACAGATGGACACAATGAGAGAGAGCGCTTCCTTGTTTCTCCGCTCCACTTTCCTGCTGTTTTCACAGGTTTACATGAGTGACTCGTTTAAACACCAATCACCGACTCCAGCATCCATGATCACATCCACAGACCACACGAGCTCTGCTGAGGCCAGTGTCCAGCGCTTATGACTCCCACACGGTCCGCTGACCTGAAAGAGAGAACAGCGTAAACGGATAAACTCTTTTGTTCGCTCTGTCCTATTGTGCTCCTCTGCTGTGCGTGTATGAATATTAAATCTGTCTCCTACTGTCCCAGTGAGTCCAGACCAGCTCGCTCAGCACCCCGACGCCATCGCACTCTGCTCCTGCTCCCCTAAATCAAATAAATAAAGAACTATGGTAAATAAAAAAATATGGAGCGTAAAAAAAAAAAAAATACGAAAGCTCCTCCCGGTCTGTTCGTCACAGCCGAAAGGCATCATGGGAAATGTGGTCCATTAGTGCCCTACCCAAAACATTCCTGTTATTTATATTGCTGATTTATTTATTTATTTATTTTTTACAGCACAATGCTTCAGATGTCAAATCAGTAAAACAAAATGAATAAATAACAATAATAGTGTTTTTAAATCCATACATACAACAACAATGATAATAATAATAAAAATAATAATAAAAACCAGGCTAAGGTGGTTTGCCCGTGTCGGCTGGTTTGAGCTGGTCTGGAAGCAGCTGCTAGAATGGAGTTTGAGTGTGAAGAGAGTCAGATGTGTGACTGTGCGGCTAGCATTAGCAGCTAGCACACACACACACACACACACACACACACACCGGCTCCCTCTGCTGCTGCTGCAAAACACAGCGCATCCGCTCAGTTACCTGATAAACACTCATCAGCGGCGTCAGATCAGGGCTAGATTGGCTTCGGCTGGTTCTCAGCACAGAACTGAGTGAAGATGATCAAGCTTTTCTCGCTGAAGCAGCAGAAGAAGGACGAGGAGTCCGCCGGAGGAACGAGAGCCGGAGCCGGCGGAAAGAAGGCGAGCGCGGCCCAGCTGCGGATACAGAAGGGTACGAGAGCCAAACAGCCCGCCAGAAACCTCCATTTATCACACACACACACGGAGATAGAGAGAGATTCAGCTCAGATTCGGCTCCGATTCAGTCCGGCTCGTTTAAAGACAGGTTTCCTCACGCTGCCGAGCGACAGTAGCATTAGCCACCGCGCTAACATGTAGCGCACTCTCCAGTCGGTCTGCGCGATTTTATTGACATTTACTCGGTGTTTGGACACTTCAGAGGCGTCACAGAGAGTGAAGCTCATGTCTAAAGTCACACAGCACGGCAGAAACACTCGTTCTCCGCCAGAGCAAACTCAATCTCAGTCACAACATCGAGGCCTGCTCGGTTAGCGAGCGTTAGCCTCCTCACGAGCCGCACAGATGCAGAAGCCTCAGCTGTCTGACCGTAACCCCATCTATCTGCTGCTTTCACATCATCTCTCTGAGCCTGCGGGACACTTCAGGCCGTCACAGAGATCAGCAGGTGACCGCAGTAAACCCGGAGACACTCGAGATTAAACACATCGCCGTCATAAACCACTCAAACGATCAAATAAGTTCGAGGGATGGTTGAGCCATCTTTTACTCGCGCTTTTCTGTCCCTCCGTTCGGTTCATTCCACCAAAGCCTCGACGCCTCACAAGCGACATATTAAAGTCTGTCTGAAACGCATCCAAATGAAGAGGGTGGTTTTCTGAAGACACACGAGTGCTTTAAATGATCGACAGGTTTAATTTAGGTTTTAATTCACACGTGAACATTGAGCTCATCATGCATGCTCAACAGAAGCTCAGTCGTGCGAGAGCCAGTCCTGTCAATGAGCATGCATCAGTTTATTAGTGAATAAGCCTAAATCTGTTGGTGTGAAGCGATCGTGTCTCTTCAGAAGACTTGGATTAAACTGCCTGATTGTCGTGGAGACCTCTGACTGGAGGGACAGAGTTTCAGGAGCTCAGAAGCTCTTCAGACTCTGGGGTTAAGCTGGTGTGGCCTGCTGTCGGCGGTGGATTGACCCTCAGACTCTACAGTGTGAGCGCTGCCGAGGTCAAACACTGCATGGCTTCGTTTAGAAGTCAGTTAGACTCTGAATTGACTATATATTTATGAAAGTTATGGAAAGCCCAATGGTGTCATTATTATTCAGCTGGGTTCAGCACGTATTATAATCGTCCTCATATTTGCCTGTGGGGCGTTATTTATCCTGAAAACGGTTCATTTTAAGTAGGTATTTGCGTTATTGCATTAGTAATGAGCCTCCACAGGCATTCACGGCTGCGGTTGCCAGATGTCAAGACCTTAAAAAGTCCATACATTTAAAGACATTAAGACCCGTCCTGTAAAGGCGTTACAATGCCTTCATCTGTGTTTTGTAGATGAATGAAAGTCTAGAGCTAACGGCGAGGAAAGCCTGTGTTTTGTCACCTGCGTCTCACCAAAGAGTTGCATTTGAACACATAAGGACCGTCATGCAAACGGGGAGCTAGGACTGCATGATTAATCGAAATAAAACTAAATCAACAATATGGCCTGGTGTGATGATCAAAAGACAAAGACTGCGAATTAATGAATTAAATAGATGCACTGTGTGTTATTTGAGCTGAGGTGCACAACCACTTTGAATGAAGGAAGACTCGCGCGAAACAGCCTGTGTGAAGCACGTCACTCTGTGTTTTTAAAATCGTATTCACAATTTTATCAGAAAAACATTGCAATTAGATTTTTCCTCATCTTGCAGCACTACCACAAACCAAGCAGCACTTGCTTAACATTTCGAATGTGAATTGTTGATCAGTTGGTCTTCACTTTCTTCATTGCAGATGGCCATAGAATAATCAAAATTGTTTAAAGGTGCTGTAAGTAATTTTTGGTCCGTACTAAAGCATAAAAACACCATGATATGTTTGCAGATATTTAGGAAACATGATAAATTCACATAGCTGTTTCTCTGAAAAACAACACAGCAGCCAGCTATTCTGCTTTGAAATGTGTGTTCAGTGTCACAATGTCTGTTGTTGTTTTGGTCTGTGTGACTCCGCCCACTGCCAGTTCAGCCAATAGGGCTTCGACACCCCTTGTTGCCAGTGGGTGGAGAACACCGTTTATTGGAGCCGGGAAAAGCAGCAAATGAACTGGGTGAGAGATCGCAGATTCTACCCGACCTAAAAAGCCTCGGCATCCATCGATATTGGCTCTCCAGTATTTAGAGTTTGGACCGCAGTATCCATTCAGCTGCTAGCTGTCAGTATTACGTACTGCACCTTTAACCATCATCTTGATCTGGAAAGACGCTTATTGAAACGCTCCCCTGTTGCAGCGTGACTGACTGATATATTGCTGAAATTCACTCTTATATGAGCAAACACACACAGTGACCTTTATCACGGTCAGCAAAAGTGATCAAGGTCATGTCCATATTCTGTAAGAGAAGTTGATGATGTCCTGATCTACTAGACGCCTCGGCTTTAATGTGAATCGACTGGTATGTAAGACCGTAGATCTATAACCAGGCCTCTCAAAAAATCCTGAGAGTGATTGCACTTCTGCAGATGAAAACTATAAAAAGGTCTTAGCCAATCTCCCACACTCATGAAGTGAGCAATAATACCACCGTCCACCAAGACTGAATGAAAGACCAGGCTGGAACCCTTCAGAATTCATAGTGAGTGGTTTGTCAGTGTGTAATGCAGGTGTTGTTTTTCTGTGACAGACATCAATGAGCTGAACCTGCCAAAGACGTGTGAGATGGTGTTCCCCGACCAGGACGACCTGCTCAGCTTCAAGCTCATCATCTCCCCAGACGAGGTCTGCTCTTGTGTGATCGATGGATTCTCATGATGAAGTGTAGTGTTTGTCAGCTTGTGGAAATATTAAAGCGGGAACTGTGACACGCAGCTGCAGAATCATGTAAATGTGATCTGAATGCTGTCTCGCACTCCCAGTACATCTCGTAAGCGTTTATAATTTCTGTGTTGTTCTTTTGCAGGGTTTCTATAAAGGTGGGAAATTTGTCTTCAGTTTTAAGGTAAACCGCACCTCGAGCAGCGTGAACACTCGCCTGTAGACCCACGACAGATCAGACGCTGACACCAGGCTACAGCCTGCTCTAGTAGAGTCCATTACTAATGCAGTGCTTACTCATTTCCAGCTATGTTTGTGTTTAGGCCTTCAAATGTGCACGAAAATAAAAGCCAGGACGTACAGAGCATGGCAGAAAGGGATTTAATTTCATCATTTGACCATGTTTTCACACGTGTCCCGGTTCTGAAGCAAGAGTTACGATGATTTAATATTATATATTAGATGAGAAGAACGAAGAGTTGATCTAATAAGCATCGTGATGTAAAGATGAAGAGTGCAGGTTTGTCTTCACTCACTGTCAGTGTCACCAGATTCTGCACCAGTCTGACTCTGAAACACTTTCAGCCATGAATGATCAAGCCTGTGGCAGTAAAACAGAGATCGGTGTGGAGTTGTACGTCTTTGTACAACAGGCTTAAAACAAGAAGGATGCTAAAGATGCACAGGACTTTTCCTGTCATGAATGCTAAAGACCTTTTTATAGCCAGTTTGGTAGATGATATACATTTCTTCCTTTGCATATGTGTTTCTATTTATATACTTTCTTGTAATCAAGTTTGATTGTAGTGTAGTTTTCAAAGCAGTGCCGTTGTGTATGTCAGTGTATGTACAGTCTGCAGTCAGATCAGGCCCAGCATGCTGAAATAAAGCACATTTGTGCAGCTTTCTTCAGAAAATAATCAACAGTTTGACTCCTCGTGTTATGACCCATTGAAATATCAATCAATTTCTTGACTTGTCATTGACAGATTTGAAATCTGACACGTTTGGTCACCTCAGTGTTTTTATGGCATGATATTTGCTTTAGAATACGACACTGATCTCTTCTTGAAAAGCTAGTGAGATGATCATTGAACAGTGACTAAAGGTCAGGTGTTGTTTTGGTTTTCAGGTAGGACAGGGATACCCTCACGACCCTCCGAAAGTAAAATGTGAAACGATGGTCTATCACCCCAACATTGACCTCGAAGGCAACGTCTGTCTAAATATTCTGAGGTATTGCGTGCACTCTTACAGTTATTCCCACGTCCATGATCGTATACCAGCTAACCTGAGCGCTCGTTCTCATTGCATTATATGTTATATTTCAGAGAAGACTGGAAGCCAGTGCTGACGATTAACTCCATCATATACGGACTGCAGTATCTGTTCCTGGTAAGTTCAGCTTTGTGTTTAGCTCACACCTCTGTGAGTCTCACAGGTCACAGGTTTCCTGATGGTGAGCAGAAACCCTGGCTTGTCTGAGCAGGCTTGAGTCTGCACTTGGCAGACGTCAGGACTCTCCTGTAGCTTTTCTTCAGCTGCTGTGAATCACGGCCCTTTGTCTTGTTCTGTGTCCCTCCTGCAGGAGCCCAACCCTGAAGACCCCCTGAACAAAGAGGCGGCAGAGGTGCTGCAGACGAACCGGCGGCTCTTCGAGCAGAACGTCCAGCGCTCACTGCGCGGCGGATACGTGGGCGCCACATACTTCGAGCGCTGTCTCAAATAGTCCACGCCGCCGGCCCTCACATCCCAGAATGCATTTATGGTTTACATGCGCTGAAACGCACTGACCGACACACTGACCGCACACAGAAGGGGACGGGGGGGGCGCTGGTCAGTGACTGTTGCTCAGAGAATCCAGTCGTATTTTGCCACTATGCTGGTACCCACTGTTTATTTTTGCTAACTCATCCTCCCACTCACAGAGAGCGAGACGGCAGACCCGTATGACAGAGACACATTCAGATCAGTACACTTGTTTTCCATTTCAAAGGCTTGAGGACTGAATTAGTTTGGGCTTCGGCAACGGTGAACCTGCCTCCAGTCGCACGCATTTAACTCTAAGTAGTCACTCATTTTTACGTTTGCAGAAAAAGATGTGTATAGCATCGCATTCGACCAGTGCTGCCAAATTGATATCCCGTTGAAGCTAGAGGCCGGTTAACACGAGATCGGCAGGATCCGTCTGCTAACTGGGCTGTTGTGAGCTTGGGAGACCTGCGATGTTTTGCTCTAGTTTTCCTGGTTGGGATGGGTGGGATGGGATTTTCCTGAGGAGGATCGTCGTAGGGTTAGGAAGGGTTGCGTACAATGTTACAATTTTGTTGTGTATATTAAAAAATCCCAGTTGTTCATGATGACTGCAATATGAATTATGTTAAATAAAATATTGACTTGAATGCCTACATTTTAAGATTAGTGTAAACTACAACAGCAGATTGTCTTTAAAGAAACCGCAACAATAAAAGTGTTTTATCTGACCTGGACGATGATGTGCCTCTGCGTCAGCACACTTGCACTGAACCAGATGAAACGGGATGAATCAGACACGCTCGTCAGCTGTACGCTGGGTCTACACTGGCAGAAAAATTATTGCTTATCCAACTCGCGTCCATTTAACTGGGACTATGCTAGCACAAGCCACTGCAGGCTACACAGAAAAGATGCTCTGCCGTGTGAACAAAGCCTTTGATATCTGGGCCATTTTCTAGAAAGTTTCAGATTGTCTTTTACTGCTGTAAGAGCAGCTCGGGGTGTGATGGCAGAAAGAGGGGACCGTGACATTACACACCCGAACCCTTTGAGATAGTCGCATAATCTACAACAAATCAGCACTTTGGTGATAGAAACGAAGTCACCTACATTTTACACCTCTCAGATGCTGTTTTTGTCCTTCAGCTCAGCTGCCACAAGATGGCACGCACAGGATTGTGGGATATCATCAGCTGTTTTCAGAAACCCATCAGAGGACCTCAGCACTGGGTTTGGGGTTTTGAATTGAATGATCTATGAAATGTTTATTTTATGTGTGTGTGTGTGTGTGTGTGTGTGTGTGTGTGTGAGA